TAGTCCGTGCCGCGTGTAGCCGCGCGGCACGGGGTTCGCACTAGCTGGCTTTTATAAATGGCGGCGCCGGCTTTATGCTAATGAAGCCCGGGAAATTCAAATCCCGGACTTCATTAGCAAGTTCGGTGTGCATACATTACCCCCCTAGTTCGAACTAAGGGGGTAGTGTAGACATACCCTCAGAGTGTCCCCAGCACGCAGCATATTACACATCTCAAAGAGAAGAGAAATATTGGCAAGTGTACATCACCGCTCCTCCCCCCCCTTCACCTCCCACCGTGGCACTCAGCTGACTTCTGCACCGCTCAGCTGGGCTGCTGCGTGGGAGCACGCAGCACAAACGGCTTCTCTCTCTCTCTCTCTCTCCTCCTCCTACTGCCTCACTCTCTTTCTCTCAGCTCTCATCCGCCTCCTGCCTCTCTCTCTGTCTTTCTCTTTCACTTCTCCTCCCCCTCCTGCCTCTGACTCGGGGGACCGTGGAACCCAAATGGCCATCTGGGCTACACATTCCCCATGTGCATCCCGGCTGAGCAGCTCAGAAGTCAGCCAAGCGCCATGGCGGGAGGCGAAGAGGAGCAGGGCGGTGACATACATGGCCAGGGGGCAGGGCCTGGACGAGCGTGCATCTCCCATGGAAACAGAGGAGAGCAGAGAGTGAGGGAGAGGCATTCACCTCCACCATGGCACTCGGCTGACTTCTGTGCCGCTCAGCCGTGCCGCCGCGGGGAGCAAGTGGTGCAAGCGACTGTTTGGGCCCCACACTTCCCATGCAGCACGGGCTGCCCAGAGGGAACAGCCAGCGTTTCAGGCAACAGCGCTGCCCAGAGGGAACAGCCAGCATTTCGGCATTACAGACTCATACACTGGGCTACTATACACCATGGCACTCGGCTGACTTCTGTGCCGCTCAGCCGTGCCGCCGCGGGGAGCAAGTGGTGCAAGCGACTGTTTGGGCCCCACACTTCCCATGCAGCACGGGCTGCCCAGAGGGAACAGCCAGCGTTTCAGGCAACAGCGCTGCCCAGAGGGAACAGCCAGCATTTCGGCATTACAGACTCATACACTGGGCTACTATATATATCACATCACTACTCTTGCATAAAATATAGCCAAGAGAACACTGGTATTCACAAGGAGCAAACAGGACTTTTTGAAGATCTCGTCCAAAAAGCACCCATGCAAAATAATCTCAAATTCAATTTATATATTTCAGAGAAGAGGAGTTGAGTCAACAATACTGTAATGTGACTGTGAAAGACCAGAGTGTCATTATAAATATATAATATATAATTCAGAGTGAAGCATATTTTACTTGTGAAAGATGCACTTAGTGGCCTCAAAGTTATCACCACCTTTGATAATAGCTTTCACTGAATTCACCGCAATCTACTGGTTACTACTATACCAAAACTTAAGAATTACTAATGTAAATTAGTAAAAAGATGAACACAAATCTAGTGATATATCACAGAACCATTCAATGTCAGACATGAGCAGATTCTAATTATTTTACCTTCCAATTGTAGCAGCTTTCACAGCTGTGATGATATAAAGTGATCCAGTCTGCAGTACTGGTGATCTAATTACAATTACTCTGATACATGGAGGCCAAATTCTCTCTTCATCTATATTTATAAAAATAAATATTAGTAAAAAGGCAAGCTTACAACTGTGATATCACAGTCCTCAGTCTTTCTAGATGTTTGGAAAAGATTTAGTCACACTTCAACTGTAATTAAAGAGAAAAATTAATCAAAGTGTCACAAAGGTAATAACCACCAAATTACCAAGATGCTATTTTTGCAATTACTTTTCAGATTAATATCTTCAAAGAATGCCTTTATTTACACCAAAAACATCTGACTGTCAGAGATTACCATGTGTGTAATTCTGATGTTTACTGAAACACATGAAACACCTTTGACATCAATATACTATAGCTGCATTTAAGAGCATTATCAAATCAGTTACATGGATTTACTATCAAATACTAATGAGTTTTAGATCACTTAGGGAGCATCTACACAGCACTTATTTCAAAATAGAGTATTCTTCCTTCGACTTTCCTTACTCCTCGTACAATGAAGGTTATAAGAGTCGGAGTAAGAAATCTTCCACCTTGACCGTATTTCAACATTATTTCGAAATAATGTGGCTCTGTAGACATACCCGTAGGGGGGAAACCCACATCATCTACCTAAAGCTAAGTAATCTGGCTCTAGGTGAGTGAAGAAAGGCGGTATTAGAAAGGGGGTACAATTTTCTAACTGTAGCCAGGCTATGGGGTTGTAGTACAGGACCCTTGCAGCTACCAAAGGTTGGACTTTGCTGGTCCAGCACCCTCGGTAACTGACTGGTTCCAAATGAGAGGATTGGCACCCCTCGTAACGTGCTGCCACCAGACATGGGCTCCAGCCTGCCCCCACTGCTGCTTCAGTCCCACAGGCCTCTCCCCAGCCCCACTACTGCTGGAGCCGGAGTGCCACTGCCAGAGCTCTGCAGCCAGGGCAGAGCTCCACAGCTGTCTGGCTCTGTGGCTAGGGCCAAGGCAGAAGGTCAGGGCCAGAGCTCCCTGGCTGTTGCTGGGGCTGTGGCTAGAGTTCCCCGACTGCTGGAGCCAGAACGCAGCTGGAGCTCTGCGGCCGGGAATGGGACCAGAGTTCCCTGTCTGGGGCCGGTGACCCACAACCACAGCTAGGCTACAACTCCTCGGTCGCGGAAGCCAGGGAGAGCTGCCAGGGCCAGAACTCCCCACCATGCCATCTGTCCTCTCCCCACCACACATACACTCTGGGCTTCAGCTTAGTCGCTGGTGCCCCTTATAGCGCTCCTGCCCATCCGCCAGACCTCCCTCTTCCTGGGCTCTGTGGTCGAGGAACATCCGTGGTCCATGCCAGACCATGGATGTTGCCAGACTAGAGAGACCCGGTTAAGGGAGGTACAATCTATAATCAGTACAGCTGTTCTTATGTTATCAAATCTGTGGCTTGGAACAATAACTGCACCTCCTCCATGCAGTTTTCAGTAACATTTATAGGCCAGAGGATCTGGCTCAAGGCAGATCTTGTGACCCCTTCCACAGTACAGTCCCACTGCCAACCTTTATAATACCTTACATCAAAGGCCAACAATGAAGACACTTTGGTAATGGGCAAGGGATGTGATTCTCAGCTTGCGTACATATGCTCATGTCAGCTCTTACTGGAACTAGCGTAACAAAAACAGTAGTGCAGCCATGTTAGCACTGGCTGTGGCAGTCTGGGCTAGCAGCCCAATCACAAACCAACCTGAACCCTGTGGGTACGTGCTCAGAAGTGGTTAGCCCATGCCTCTGCAATTACACTACTATATTTAGTGTACAAGTTCCAAAGAGAGCGAGTGCAAGTATATGTGTGGGACTGACTCATGTAGTTGATTTGGTAGACCTACTCTTTCAAAGGGGTACAAAGGCTTCACTGTATACCCACTCCATGCGCAGCACTCAAATATGTCCAAGGTAGGACTTAAAGTGGTCTGGTAGGAATTTCTCATCTATGCTGCAGAGAGTGAACACTTCATCCTCAATAGATTATATGGTTTTTAGAATATGGAGGCTTGAAAAAGAATCCCAGAAATTACTATAAGCATAGGACTGTGATCTTATTTACCATATACAGGGTACATTCTCTAGTGTGTATCTATTTCAGCATTGCTTCTCTATCTAAAAGCTCCCGTTACAATTTTCTCTACACAGAAGATATTTAGTCTATCAGAGAAAGAACATCATGCTGACCTCAGAAAATAAAGATATACTGATATGACAGATTTTAAAAAAACAAAATCCATATTTGTTTTTAGGCCTACCAATATTGGAAGGAAATAACACAATAAATATTGGCTTAAGCTTTTATATTTCACTGAAGACTTCAGTTTTTAAAACTAAACTACTTCAAATCATCCCTTTTCAATTTTATTTTTATGAGTCACTATCATTTTATTATAGTTTGCTCTTATTTAATGAACTTATGAAAAAACTACAGAAAGTACTGTATACAAATACCATAATAATTCACCTTCATTTTCAGAATCTTCTGAATTTATACTCTCTTCACTTGTTACTTCATCTTCACTGGTATAGTCCTCACATTCAGAGTCAGTAATTTCACCTTCTTCTGGCTCACTCTCTGTCTCTACTATTTTACTGTCACCCATAAATGCAGGCTCTTGTGTTTTTCTGTTAAGGTGTAACTTTATACTATCTGTGATAATTGCTTCTTTGGCTGGTAGTCTGTTTCTTACATCAATGTCCACTTTAGCTTTCTTTCTTGCATTTGGAGACTCCTCCTCTTCAGTAGAGCTTAGCTGCTCATTAGTGGTGAAAAGGCAATTCAGACTTCTGGGTGATTTCTGCTCTTCTGTGTCCAAATCCTGGAGAGGATTTATAAAAATCAAACTTGAAGAACTGAACATTGTCTTTAGGGACTGAAATCTTTTAATCTATAACCAGCACATATTTAAGTCCTTGACTATGGGTTATAACTAGTGTCAGAGATTTAAAAAAAAAAATCACTGTGTGCACACACGCAAGAGGAGGTCCCAGATGACACTTTTCACCCATTTCAAGTTTCTCCAAGCTGTTACGGCTATCTTCAATTCCTGATGATGTAACTATCACTCTTCTTCTAATCCCTTCACTGTCACCCTCTTGCTTCACAATGAGCTTCAGAATCCTTGTCCTCACTTTCAAAGATCTGTGTAAATCCATCCCAAATACATCTCTGCTCTGCTTTCATCTTTCCTAATTCCTCTTTCCCCCTCTCTCAATAATGCCTATGCTCTTTCCAAGTTCTCAATTGTTCTTCATCATCTCGTCCTCTATTTCTGTCTTCTCTTTTTGCATACTGCTCCCTATGTCTGGAGTTCCCTGCTTATGTTCGCTGATTGACCTTCCTTTCTTCCTTCTTTCAAACTTGCATCTTTAACAAAGTCTTTCATTACAAGACATTGCAGACAAGGGTAGTTTAATTTTTCGAGTCCCCATTACAATGCCACAGAAGATTCATACTGAAAATCTATTTCCTTACAGAAAGGCTCTTCTCCATTACACATGCATACATGACTTTATTGCATGTTTGTCCATCAGTGTTTGGTTTATGGTGTTCATTTGCTTTTCTTTCACAGGACCATCAACATTTCTTAAGATAAACTATTAAATCAACACAAAAATTACATAAACTTTTCCAGGGTATTTAAGAAAAATTGTTGTCATAATTCTGAATCTACCAAACCTGACATATTGTTTAAAGTGAACAGAAAAGCTTTATCAAGCAAATAAAAAATATTTAAGATCCAAAATTATTTACTTGTCTGGAACCTTGAACTCACAATAAATGTTTTTCAATAAAACCAGTATTCTTGAAACAGAGCAGGTAAACAATATAAAAAGTGCCTTTCATTTTAAAGCTTATTGAGCCCTTATAAACACCACTTTACATTTCAAAATCCAACGTAAACATGAATCAATGTAAAGCCTGTGAAAACAGTTAAGTATTTTAATTTTATAAATGTGGAAACAGACATATAGAGGTAAAATAACTTGTTCAAGGCCACAAGGCTGGTCAGTGGCAAAGCTGTCATGAGAACAGGAATTCTTGCCTTCCAACTTTGGCCTCAACCCACCAAGCAGCAAAGAACATTTACGTTTACATGCAAATTTAGCTATTTGGGAACTCTGAAAATGTTTTAAAGAGTTTTTCCATTCAACACACATTACATTCTCATTAAACAGCAATTCCAGAAGAACCTTTTACTGTTCCAAAGGACCACTACACAGTATCACTTAGGCTATGTTTATGCTACAAGATTAGGTAGTCTTTATTAAGGTCGATTTTTTTAGCACCCGATTTTGTCAAGTCGAAAAAGCATGTAGTCAAGGGAGTGCATCCACAGTAGGGTGGCTACCTTCGAGTTTGTCCGTGCTGTATTGTGGGTAGCCATCCCACAGTTCTTGCCACTCCTTTGCATTCTGGATTAGGATCTCAGTGCCTGAAGGTACAAAAATATTCTAGAGGGTGGTTCTGGGTACATTCCAGCATCCCATAATGCACTTATCTCCTTCCTTCCCCCCCACTTGAAAGTAACAGCAAACAATTTTTTCACACCTTTTTTCCTCTGGTTATCCATGCAGATGCAATAGCA